CCACCCTGTCCCCACTCTGCCATCACCACCTTGAACCTGGCTTCACCCAAACCATCCATGCCCTAGAGCCCACTGGTCACTACTTCACCCCCATCTTCTCCTTGACATGGTGAAATCAGGGCAGCAGAGGGACAGGGACACCATGCTCAGTCCCATCATGAACTAGCGCGAAGAGAAACAACCCAGCTGGGGACAGACGTCTTCAACCTACCTTACAGATTGGTTCTTATGGGTTGGGTTGGAGCAGGACAAGTTACTGGTCTTCTGGGTGCCCTCAAGGAAGTCCTTAGCAGACCCTGCCCTGATGTCCATCACCCTCTTGGCTTCATGGCTTGCCAGATAGCGTTGATGGGCTTCAGAGCACTTGGTGCAGAGGAACTCCTCACACTCACAGCACCAGAACTCACCGGGTTTCTTGCAGTTGTCACAGAACAAGTCAACTCCACCCATGATCTTCTTGTAGACCTTGAGCCTGGCCTGCAGGTTGGTGAAGAGCAGGTTGTCCATGTCGGGAATGCCGCTGGCCTGCGGGATGGGCATCTGGCACACGGAGCACTGCCCAATGTGCTTGGTCTTGCTCAGGCAACCAAGGCACAAGGTGTGGAGGCAGGGGAGGAGCTTGAGGCTGGTCGATTCCTGCCGGCAGCCCTCGCAAAGGATGAACTGGAAGTCATCTTCTAGGAGCTTGGGAAGTGAGGGGGGAAGAGGAATGAGTGCAGGGGTGAGATTTAAGAGCTTATGAGACTAAACCTCAGGGGAGGAAGGTAACCCACAAACCCTACTCAGAGCAACCACTGAGCCACCAGCAATGCCCAGGCCCTGTGAACAGGCATGGCCCATGCACCGATGTAAGGTTGGGTGGATGATGAATGGGGCCGGGACCACTTCCTCCCCCTCCAGCAAAGAGGCAACAGGACAGTCCCCCTGGCTATGGGGCTGGGGAGGGCTGCAGTCCAGGGGATGGGGCACACGGGAAACGTACAAGGATTCTGGAGAGAGACTCTTCAGCAGGGCCTGTAGGGACAGGGTGAACGGTTCAACCTGCCCGAGGGGAGACTGAGATGAG